ATATCATAATTGTAAAAAAAAACTTATAATTTGCTACTATCCGACTTAATTTGAAATTTTCAAAGAAAAAACGATGAATAGCCTAAGGGGCGGCCAAGGGTTGCTCGAGAGAAGGCGGCTATTGAAAGAAAGAGAGGGACTTTAAACACCGGCGGTTGAACACTGACTTTATAGGGGCAAAGCATTTCTTCCTCATAATCCCATAACTCTCTACCAATGAAGTACAAGTAGCATTGGTTTACGTGAAATTAATAGGGAGGGCGTTTCGTTTAATGATTATTCGCCCACTGCACAGAACAAAGTTAAAGTGCATTCTAGTTAATCGAACGTACACCACAAAGCAACAACTGTGCCATTTAGCGGACGAACAGATGTCGTAAAATTCTACTATTGGAAGAACTTCAATGCTACTACTGACATCCGTTAACTGAACGCAAAGGTTTTCATTGCCTTTGATGGCATTAGCTCTATCAAACAGTAACATGTGGCAAGTGCCATTAAAACGTTTCGAACATTCCATATCCATACAGATTTAGCACCGTCAGAACTTGCCAGTTTGTCAACGAATTCGTCAAGCACGCCCCCTATCACTATAGCAAAGAAGAACGTTTCTATCCTTGATCCGTTAACTTAACAAATCATCTTACATTTTTTAAATGCGAACAATCGCTGTTACCTGCATTAGTGCAAAAAATAAAGTGGCCGACGTGGTGACCTCAGCGACATCGCATAATTATCAAAAGCACCAAGTGCAAAGTGTCTTTCGAGTGTGTTCTTCCTAAAAATTCCCTTCAAAATGGTCTCAAAATATACGCTTGTTCTCTTTAACTTTTGTTTTGACGAACTACAAACATGACCATAATCCTGCCCAGAATCCTCACCGCACGATCATTGACAATTCTAACAGATGCAGTAAACACGGGCCAATATGTCTTATTGAGACAATACTATTTCATTATAAAGACAAATCAATAGAGTGGCGGGTTGCTCGCTGTCCGAAGCACACAATTCACATACCTGGTTGAATTCAGCTTCACTCATAGCGTTGCCGTAGCTTAATTCAAAGGATACTTGTTTTAATCACACCGGGCAATACGTTCTACGACTCTGCGTCGCTTTGATTCGTGGGCGCCCAACTGGATAGTCGCCATACTTTCCCTCACCCAAATTACCTTCCCTTGTCTAAGGGAGAGTGGAACATAAAGATGCCTTGTTTATACTTATAACGGCTACGTTTCTGCCCCACTCACGCAGATTTGCTTTCATTCAGAAGCTCATCAGTCAGATCATTCATACATCCTGTAAAGTGCTATCATATATCGGTGACGTTGTTCGTGCTACTGTTGACAATAAATACATTGATGAGCGTGATAGCAATGTGTAATTAGACTTCAAGCCCTGCTGAAGTCCTCTCTTCGGTAAAACCGCATTGTCGGTTACTACAAGTTAGAAAATATTCGCCTGCAACTCCACATTGAATAAAACATGCGATACTGGTCACTGCACTATAATGTCATTCAAAATATTAGCTGTCTAATATAGTTAAAAGCATACTGAGGCTTGTTTTTATCAAGATGCTGCTGTAATTTCAAAGCTAAATTTCTTTAACGACTAGAATATGTTGCAGGGAAATCTGTAATCAGATAACATCCTCTATTTCAAACTCCCTAACAGCCTTTATAACGAGAAAAACACAGCCAAGCAGATTCCGTTAAATTACAAAAGTGCTGTTGCTCCTAACTTCAAGTGAATGAAACATCGTCTCGCGGTCCCCCTTAAAATAATCACACTCTTGTAGCTTAGCGCTATTAAAAAAGCCAACGCAAAATAACACAGAGTCGAATCGATAAAGTAGCTTTCAGTTAGCAAAGTTAATCAGAAACAGACCGTTGCAATGACTTAATGCTCGGGGAGATGGCGCGTGCCTACAAACAGCAAACAAATGGTAGATAACATTAAATGCGATAACATGAAAACTGAACAGAGGGCAGATCATAAGGTTTTAGCTGGTTTACTTCCATTTGTCGAGTGCGAAGTTTAACGAAAACAGTAATGGTTAGCTGTGAAACAGACTATCAGTCGCACAGTGTGCGTCGATCTATAGAAAACATCTAAATTTAAATAGATTGTTAGATAGAAAGTTGAACTACGGCGCTCAGCTAGATGTTTTGCGTAATAACTTGGAAGCCTGCACAAGACTGAATCTGTTTTGCGTATAGTAGATATATAGTAGGCTATTTCGTATTTCGTAATTTATTATTTGCGTAGTAACAACGAAACACCTTAAGAAACTGTACTGTACAGACTGGATATTAAGTTATGTAGTATTAACAATACAATGTATAACTAATTAATATGTAAGCCAAAATCTTCTAAGTTTGCATTTTGGTAGATTATTGCAAATACATGCAAAAAAGCGCTTCATAACATCAACGTAATAATATGAGAGACTTTAGATTTCATTTTCGAGAAAATCTCTTGTTGTCCCGGTTGTCGTTTATTCTCAAAGTGACGAATGATGCTGATGATAAACGAAGGAACTATAACCACTAAATCCTACCTAAATTAAATGGATGACGTAAGGTCTGATGCGTAATAAACAGGACAGACAATCATGTAAATCACGAATAGCAGTTAGTTTCTAGTGAAGAAAAAGGTCAGCGTTCCACCAGCTCTAAATCTTATTCTGCACCTCTACTGCAAAAATTGGAACTCTGATATAATTCAATTGAATAACTTCATCGCAACACATATTTAAACAACCAATAAAAGGCATCTGCTTCAAGTGAAAAAATGACAGAAGTTTATTTTCCGTGACTATCTCATTTGTCCGAATATCATGAAAGTTTCGTTAAAAACGTAATACCAGCATCTAAAAAAACTCTAGGTTAAATTACACGAGACGTATCCGGATCTAGAACGAACCGGATTGTTGAAGGAACAACTTTAAACCCAGCTTGTCTTGATTAAATGTCCATGTGTACATGACGTGGCCATGTACGTCGATTTTTATATATATTACGTCATGTTGAGATTATGCAATTGAGGTAAGAAGTTACCTGGAAAGGTAAATTCTGAAGGATACTTTGCTAGTACGCAAAGAATATTGAATATTACACTTATTTATATGCTTAAATAATAAAAATATCTAAAGGCAGTTATTTGTTATGTATGCTGTTTTAAATCAAAAGTAAAGTAAATCAAAAGTGGGATAGGCTTGCTTATTAATTGTCACTTTTAAAGCCTGCAAAGCCTTCTGTGTAATCACATGGATTTGGATCAGGAGATTGGAATTAGCGAATTGGAGCTAACATTGGACATTCTTCTGCTCAATCCAGAAAACAATTGAGACATGTCAATTAGTTTTGATCTTATCGTCAAATACCCAGGCTGCGTGTTTTCGATTGCCACGGAGTTTTTTCAGGAAAGGTAGACGAATTTTTGTTAAAATAGCAGATTATATGTGGAATACACCACACGCATTTTCAATTGGTCTCAAGTCATTTCATAAGTATTTATTTTTACTTACTGTACTGTTTTTAGTACTTGCGTTCGCAGTATTTTGGTTGTAATTCTACAATACGTTCTAGCTCCAAGCTTTCATAAAAATCCTTTTCGTTGCAGCGATGTGTTCTTGTCCCTCGGATCCACACTTTTTTGCTGGTCTCTAACGCTTCAGTTTCCGATCCAAAACGTTTGCACCATTCACGTACTGTGCTCTCGTTTAAGACCTGCTTGCCTAATGCCATCATCAATCCTTGATGAATTTCCGGAGCGCTATGGCTTTCAAGGTACAGGAACTTGAATACTGAGCGTTGATTTTCGATTTCATTTCTGTTAGTCCAAAACTCGACCGGTTCTCACTCACAAGTTTCTATAAGACTGAGACATTTCGTCTGCTAGCGGCGCGTACTTCAAACGCTATTCAATTTCAAACTACGCCGGATTCGTTTGTAACAACCTAATAGACAACAATTGACTTCGACTAGTCGTTCAAGATGCATACTGCGATATAATAACCCCTATTTTCAATTCTAACAGATAGTGTGACAATTTTTAATTAAATAATTAGTAAACTAAAAAATGTCAGATCAAGTTTCGATTTTCAAATTGGATATAAAGGTTCGGTGCATTGAGTGCAGCTTAACATATTTTTTACTAACCTTTATTGCGTCGCTCCCTACTGCTCGAATCCGCAACACGCATACGTATGCAAAGCGTGTATGCGAACCACCACAGTTTCGGCTCAAAATCTACACCCATTTTATTCAGCCGATGTACAAAGGTCACATCCACACGTAAATCCACTCATCACATAGCTTCAGGTACAATTTCCTCAAACAGAATGTATATATATAGAAGTCCTTAAAATATACTACGGTGCAATCGCACTACGGACTTAAAACAAGTCCGTCAGTCACTAGTCCACTCGCAAACTATTCATAGTTGTATTAAATGCCGTACAAGAAAACTGAACCAAAGACGGTGAAGTCGTTTAACGACTGACAATAAAGGGTTAGTGTCGACAATTATTGACCAAATGAAAATTTGACGCATTGCCGAACTGATAATGAATGAGGCCACTTCTCCATACAATCGAAAAAATTCCACAAACGTTACAGCGCGTGGAAACTCGCTTCGACCTATTAGGACCAAGACGACAATCATGTATGTCACAGAAACAATCCTATTTCAGTTATTCGTGTGCAGCCCTTTCGTTTCTGAGCCCAGCGATCCGTTGCCAATGACACTGCCATCAAAAAGTTGCCAAACCAACTTGGTTGACCCACGTGCTTACGTGGTTACATTAATATTAGCAAAATAAAAAGTAGCATTAATGAAGCTGCAGCAATGCACGATATCCTATTCGAAAGATGAGATATCCAACATATGAAATTGTTATTATTTTAATTTAGTAAACGATTGTTAGCTAGACGTAGAGCATTGCAGCTGGTTATTAGAAGACGAAGTGATACGGGAATGTATCACATAAAATCTAACTACAATATATCAGCTTGGATTTTGCATAAAGGTGTATATTAGCTATTAATAACTTCGTCTAGCATCAAATCAAAACATGTAGCACCTAAATAACTTCGAAGTACTGAACATAAACTCTGAATGCTGGGCTCTGATTGGTGTCATAACTTTGGCCTTTAAACAGATTCAGTTACGTATCAACAACACGAAAAAACGGAGACCAAATCACATCGTTTTTCCTAAGCGATAACCTTTAACTCTACTGAATCCGGTTGATTATTCAATCTGAAGTTTTATTTTGTGTCTTTCGTTGTCCTCTTTCACTAGGCCACCTATCCTGTATTCTTCAATTACAGTTTATATACTATTCAATTTTGTTTAATAGTATTAAAGAGGTATATTTATTTTATAGTATTAAAGAGGTATTTTTATATGGTAGAAGGGGGCTGATGCGACCCTACTGAAATATTCTTTAAAAATAAACCCGCCTAAATGCTAGTACACCCAAATTAGCCTATTTCTGAGGAATTAGACAGCTCATGTGTCGCCAAAAAACTCAGAGCCGTGTGAGTGTCAGCTCAGTGTACTCATAATACAAGTCTGAGCCATAGACGTTCATTATGCAAGATTATCTAATAAACATTGTTTCTGCCCTATCGGCGGCGCATCGAGAACTCTAGACGTTTTGCTTTGTTGACACTTTTAATTTCACAAAAACGTTATTCCTGCGTGCGAACACCATATATGAGGTATTTATAATTATATCTCATGTAGCCTCCTACACATGCCCTTTAAACACGCTTTTGATACGAGCCTTCCTATTCTCCATTCAAGCTCTAAGTTATTCTGTGAGTCACGCCCAGTGTATGATATACCTGTATTGTTAAGACCGGTGTCCACGTAGCGGCGTCGCGGACTAATCTGAGCCTGCTTTCTGCTTAGGAGAGAAGTGGCTTTGTACTGGCGTGTCGCAAAAAGCTTTCTTCAACAAATTTGCAAAAAGCTTTCTTCAACAAATTTGCAAAAAGCTTTCTTCAACAAATTTATGTTCTCGTAAGGACGCAGTGGGGACCACGCATTTGCCTGTATTAGATTTAGGGACATTTAGTAGGTTAGTCTAGGTTCAAGAAAAGCGCAGACGGATACACCTTGTTTCGAGCTGGAAATCACCCGTCTAAAGCCACGCTTGATGACTAGAGGACTAAACGTACAAGCCTAATCATCTATTGAGCAAGCTTGACCCCAGCGTACTTTACGTAGCAGAATTACAACAAACAACGTTCCACAGCACAAGATTATACCGCAGGCTGAAGGAAAGAAAAACCACAAAAATGTAGATTGGCTAAACGGCTACAATCTAGAACAACGTAACTTTCCTACGTCTTGTAGATGACGAGGCGAGTAGAATATATGAGCATTTGCAGTATCGGAATAGAGATGATAGAAGCGTCTTGTCGCGTCTATACTGCCTTTAACATCTTGTTATTGATTTGAGCGTATGACCTATGAGTTGCTCTACGGCGTCAAGAAGAGCACACTAATATGACAGAAATTCAATAGAAATAAATTTTCTTACAACTTTCATTAGCATTTATTTTTACACGTATTTATTGAAATTCTATTTACAGCATAAATAATAAGTTCGATCCATATTCGCAGTAGTTTATTTTTAAATGATGTCGTAAAACGTCATTTGTCGTAGTCGATATTGCGAGTTTCCTGCCTCGAGCTTTCGCATTGTTTTAGTAGGTATTCCATGCGTTGCTTGTGTTGGCCTGGTAAATGATTGCCGAACATTTATACAAGTACGTGTTATTCCGATACGTACTAACTGAATATATACTTGAAAGCCATACCAAAAATGTGTCGTAGTATATCACACGAACAATATGTATTCGTGGTATTTCTCACTGCCTTCAAAACAGAGGTCATTATTTCATAAACTAGAACATCGTGAAAGCCTCTAGTAGCTCCTTAAACAGGATTGTCAGTCACAACTAACCACATAGTTTTATAGGCATAAAATTTCGTACACTTTAGACAATCGTATGCTAATAAAACTCAAATTAAAAACCTGCATGTGACTTTTCGACCCCATAAAAATAACGTGACTGTGCCATATGCCAACGGCACGCCAACTTTTACCCGAACTTACTTTTTTCCATAGCAGTAAGTACCTGTCGAACGTTATAATCAAGCATAATCCTGCGAAGAGCTTCATCTTCTTTAGAATCTTCTCCTGCAATAAGTGGAAAGAAGGTAATATGGACAATACACCGTAGCTTTACGCGTGAAACACCTTTTTATGAAGCAGCTACTGAAAATTAAAGGGTCGTCGAAAGATCTACGTTAACTCTTTACAAGTCTAGAGAGAGCAAGTCTAATATCTCGCGACAATGTAGAAGTTAATGAAGCTCCGAATAGCTATTTAACAAAAGAAGTGGAAATCCCTCCCCCATTGAATAGCAATGAATGCTATAGTATGACTGGTATCATTTATACTTTTTGTTTCCTAATTTAGCTGGTTTTCTTTACCTCGACGACGGAACAACATCTGCAAATTTGAAAAACAAGCTTATTGGTTTCAATTGACCGTGTACATGAACTCCATATCGGCTGAAGAGATGACAGTCATAATTTCATAGGGGTAAAAGCGACTGGAGTTAAAAAAAATTCAAGTTGACAAGAATATTTAAAGGCTACACGGTTTCAGCTAGAGAAAGATCATCTTTTAGTTGGCTGCAACAAAACTTTTATACCAAATCAACCTTAACATTAAAAAGAAAGTGATTCGTCGTGCTTTTATTACGTGCAGTTATAGAAAATCAACGTCACTTTGGCGCATTGGCAAGTTGAAATGACTTAAATCAACCTTATAAAGTCTTGCGAGACTAGTAACCGAATATAAGATAAAGACTAACCCTCGCTGTTGTTATTTTTTGCAGTTTTTGGTGGAAACAAGATACGAATTGGTGGTTTAGTGCTCAAGTCGTTTGATGTACCTCGCCGACTCCTAAATGAATTCATTGTCACAAACCTCCGTATATAATCAGTTCACAAATCCACGGTTCCTTCAAGTATTTTCTTAAGAATTCTAAAAAACTGCTTAAATTTCTGTATTGTTGAACCTTGAAGATAGTCGTTTGCTGTACTGTTGACAGAACACAGCTGTTGCAGTATTACATGGTTCCCATTTTCCGTCGTTTTAGATTTCGGAAAACGCCTTTCACTAAAAACTTTCTCTAAGAAAATTTAGAGAATCGTTTCGAATTGCAAACCTTTAAATTACGTGCATGCACACTTATTGAAAGTATATCAATACAAGTGGATTTACGTACTCTAATAGAGAGGCAAATGGTATTTCTACTTTCCGCACCCTTTGAGTTTTGTTTACCATTCATCCGCAAAATATTACTGTCGTAGGTCGTGAAAAGGTGCTGCTTAATTAGAGTGCCGTATAAGGTGGAGAGAAAGGATGGCGACCAACAAAGTGTTTTGTAAGTTATCGAACCATATATTTGAAACTTAAATAACTTGACGATGTGTTTTTAGGCAAGCGAACACGAGTTTTATGTTTATCAGTAAAAGTACATTTTTTGTTCACTTTTATTCAGAGTGCTTTCTTTACTCTCCACTCGAGTCGCAGATAACTAAGAATTTTAATGCTCAGCCTGCCGCTAGTAGGTATGGTCAGTTGTACTACTTGTGGTACCAGTGGTACCATTAGAAGCTATAATGGTAAGAGATTTGCGTAGTAATTTAAGAATTTTTTAAGGAAGACGCAGGGTTCATTTGTGGGCTATTTTTGGATCGATATGAAAATAAAATATCGCAATTTATGTCGCAATTTATAACTCGAGACCCTTCTAAAGACAGCCTTTCTTAATTTCGTGTTTAAATTCCAGCCGTAGCCTTTCTGAAAGAAGCAGTTAACAAATTTCCAGACCTCATCGGCACGACCCTACTCTGCACTTTAAGTGAGTCATTACATAGGCATAACATATATATATAGTAAATTTATGTTCTGTTTTATTTTTTAAAATTCGTACGATGTAGGGAAATTGTGTAACTTAGTGAAAAAAAATCAAACATACTAAATAAGAAAAATAGTGTTTCATTTGAAAGCATTAGTAATCGATAAAATGTTTTGTTTTGAGTGTTAAAGATATAAAATGTTTAACTTTTTTAGAATGCTACTCATGACTAGTCTGTCTGTGGATTAAATTTATGTCAAACCGTTATTACTTAAATGCGCTACGAAGTTTAGCATATAATAGTAGTAAGCACGCAATTTCGTATATGGAAAACTGTAAAAGAGATGTATTATCTGTACGTCGTTTCTTGCTTGATTATGTGCTAAAAAAGAGTGAGTTGGGTTGATAATTTTTTTTAATGCATAATCGATGGATGCTTGATAACCACCTAGCACGCTCTATATAATACCTATTTTTTACTTTCAAATTTCAGTGTTTCCGTACGCTGCCTACAATGTCCGCAATGAAGAGAGAAAACGTCCCTTTACCTATCGGCAGTACTACACTGTGTGGCGCCCGGAAGATCCTCGCTCAAATCAAATGCTAAAAAAAATGGAGAAATATAATTGGAAACCCGAAATGAAACCCGATGCGAAAGCCATCGAAAAGGCCCGCAAGGCAGCTGGATTTGCATAGTAAATTCAACCAGGAAAATCTTTTTGGTTAAGGGAAGAAAGAAGTATTCAACATTTAAAACGATAACTCCGACAGTGGACATACATCAACAGCAATTTCCATGAAGACTAACAAATAAGAGAAGGGTAGAAAAACGGCAGATTTGAAATTATAAATAAATAATCGGTTTGTTCCGTTTTTAGACATCATAATAGTTGTTTTTATTTAGTCGAGTAAACAAAACAACAAGCAAGCATAGAAGAAGCAATTCCATAAGCAATATCAACAGTATGCATATTTTATGAATTCTCTAATTAAGACTAGATTGTCTTGCTGGGAGCAGAGATCCTGCGTTCTTGCATTATAAAATGCAGCGCACCGATATAGCGTTTCGGATACAGAAAAGTATTTTTCGCCAAAGATTGTTCTTGAAAATAATTTTGAACTATGTGCCGCACAACTGGACACGTTAAGATAAACTACAGTCAATAATAACAGAACGTTATATTTATGTTAGCATGTGACTTTATTGAGCGATAATAAACGAGCATTACACCAAAAAAACGTTGAGCTGTATGCCAGAAGTGTCATTATCTCATCTTAAAAACCGGCGGTTTATAACCAGACGTTGACGGCGCGTATTGGTTAAGAGGTTCTCGAATTCCCATTTCCAATGATCGATTGCTTCCAATGAAACTGTTGTAGTCAACAAACGGTATGCAGCCTTCTGTAAGGTCGACCAGATCTGTCCCGAAACGACCAACGGTTGATCTGTTACCGGCTGGCTCTTCACTTCCTGTATCGGAGGCAAGATCTTTCATATCTGCATCTTTCGTCTCAACTAATAATTTCCTAAAATCAACCTGAAACATATTTTGAGAATTAAACTCCTCCTGCTGAATTCACTGTCATAGGCTCGTATGCACTTAAATTATATTTAGGCGCTTCTCAAACTCCAGCCGATCACTGTGATATTTTTCGAAATATTTCTACAACAGCAGTTTTAATTTTTCTTAGCGGCATTACATTTTTAGGCCATTTTTTAACCTGCGTAACGCTGCCTGATTTATAAGTTACTAGATCTGATTCAAAAGCTAGGCGAAGGAATAAACATAATAAGGATATCAGATTCGCTCAACGCGAGCAGAACACGTCTCTATGGCAGATTTAACACTCGTGTGAAATGAGTCAAACAGAGAAGCTTTTACACACTGTTCACCTTGGGGCACGGAGGAGGTGATGCCGGTGGGGGCGGGCTTGGTGACAATATTTCCACGTGCTGGACTTCCACTGGGGGCAAAGCGCCTATGATTTCTTTTACAAGTTCGGGAGAGCAACCTCCAAGGAGACCCACGGCGGTTATATTTGTCTTCAATGCTAGAAGAAAATACAATAGTGAGGTCAACCATATGCTCACTCAATTTATTACCAATGATACAAATTAAATTAAAAATATATCATATGAACCCTACTATGAAATAGAGTGAAAAATTAAGCTAGGTTGGTATTGCTTACACAGGCTTCGGTAAGTTCAACAATCACACCGATGTCTTGCCTATTCTGTGTTGTGCAAAAATATTGTTTTTTATATGTGTGATTTCTGCTACATAAGGAGCGTGTCTACTGACTAAGCTTATTTCAACAGGCCACCCGCCCTTAAGAATTATTTGTGCCCATCATAAGAACCCAAACCAAAAGCCTGAATCGAACCCTAAATAAGGTAATAAAAGCTTATGCTACTTCCTGGACTTCCTCCTGTCTACGCAGTATACAAGTACATGGTCGGCGTGTTATGGGTCGTTGATGCTGATCTTTTTGAATGCGTCGCTATGGTGACTATAATTAGCAAGCCTACTGCCATGCTGATTCTAATCCCAGTGTTGGTACCCATCGTCGCCAAAAATAAACAATCAGGAAAACAACATATTAAGAAAGATAGGGACTTATATTATTAAATTTAATGGCTGTTTGTATGACCGCCATACCTCTTCTCAAAGGTTTGTTGAAAAAACTCCGGATAATCTAGTGGGAGCTAATTCTTAATGTTCTACCTAAAAAAAGTAACTCAAAGGACTTGTCCATATCGAGATGTGGACAAGCCCTTTGAGCATAACTGATAGTGCTAAATAAAAGCTGCCTCCTTAGGACATATCAAAAGCGTAAAGCTAAAATCGAGGAACTATAAATGTCTACGTAAATTCAAAATCAACATAAATTACGAATCTAACCTTTAACAGTGTTTTGTAGCACTCTTGCAATGCTATCCATCGCTCGAACTGCCGCCACAGGAATGCCTTTATGAACACACAATTGTTGGAGGTGAATAACAAGTCTGCAATGGACAACGTAAAGGTACTAAGCTGCAAATGTACGCTACGATGGAGACGCTTTCAATGACTGTTTATCATCAACAGGAACTAAATCACTTGTCTCCATTGAAAACAAATTAATTTCCTTCATCTAACAGGGTATTGCTATTTCTTCACGTGCTGATTACAGCGCCGTCGACAATCTTTACTACTGCTACTGCTAACCTCTCTGGTCGGACATTGGCATTGAGAAGAACCACTTTCAAATTATCACTACAGGATTCAACACCACGTGTTATGCTATTTAATCCAAGCATAACTCGCCGTCTGATCTCACCCTGCAAAAAATACAAGAAATGTTCATTTATTCATTCATATACTGAATCTTTATAACAGTCATTATTCTGAAGACATGATATTTATTGTGCTCAATGTATCAGGATAGATTGAACTCCCACTGCTTTGATTTACCATTGAGTTGCAAAGTCATCACACATTTCTGCTTGAAACAATTCAACCTGCTTACCCTATTTTTGAATTCTTTCAAATAGCTGACCAGTTTGTTTTCTATCAGCTTATCAGCCCTCTCATCGATAGTTCGCAAAATTGGCTCCTCGAGATTCGCGAGCATTAACCGCTTAAGTGTCTTCTTCGTTTTAGCCTTTGGCACTTTTGTTACGGGAATCGATGTCATGATGTGCGTCATTTGGCAAACGAGTTCCTTGAAAACTGAGATGTCGTTCATCTATTACTATTGGGCAAAACAAAAAACCATTTACGGTTCGTTATTGAGGTAAGGAAATTTGTTGTTTTCTATTTGAGAAGTAAAGCGATTAGTAAGCCTTCTGTAGCTTAGTTTGGACGGAAAAGCTGAAAACGCATTGCAACATCGGAACAAAGATTTCGATTGAAAACGCTTCTTTAAAATGAGTGCTTTTCTTATCTAAACGGTCCTGTGCATTTTCGTGCATACTTGAACTACAAATATGAATTGCTACATTTTGTAATAACAGAATTGCAATTACTAGGCAAAAAACACGAAGGGCCGGTAATCAAGTTTGTTTCCAACTTTACCTAGCTGTGGTCATCGACAAATGAATCTCTGTACATAACGAAAACGAATACTTCATCATTTGTCTCCTAGTTACACTCGGAACTTTCCTTGCTTCAGTATAATAATGTTTTCCGAAATTCAAACCATTTAAACAATTCGTCACGCCTAATATTGATGTCGTTATTGTTCACACAGAAGCCTTCATAGATCATGCACTTACCTAACAAACATGTTTTTGTTTGTCAACCTAGTTATCACGGTAAGGTAATGCGGTTGAAAATAGTTGTGAGCGCATGATTTATCTTACGTTGCCATGTTGTAGGCCACTGAATACCGGTAACGATTCACATAATTCATCCTAAGCAGTTGTATGCGTTCACACGTATTTTGTAAACATCGTTGGCCCACAAAACACTGGATTTCACTTTAGTTTTAGTTGAAAAAAAAGAGACCAAATTGCTACTTAAATAAATGCCATAACATCAAGCACAATGTATGGTTGGTGAACGCATACATATAAACACAAACAGACATATTCGATTTCCGTCAGCGCAGCGAAACAAGTCGGAACCCGCAAAATTTGAATCCTGCCAAAATCGAACGCGGTTGATCGCGCATGCATGTGTGTAGGAGACGAACAAATTACGGATGATCTATTTTTTTTCAAGTGTCTATCAATCGGATATGACTGTTGTAACAGGTTCAATATTACTCGAAAATTCAGTTTGTGACATTAGTAACCCGTGATCGACAATTTCTTTGATTGAAAAATTTGACCGACAGATGAAAACATATGGCCCATTATTTTAAATTGCTGTGTTAAACATTGTAATCCACTAGTGCTTTGATGTGCGAACACGGGATCTCTGTTTTTCGTAAATAATGAGCACTTATAGTACTTCATGGCAATTAATTAACATTGGAAAAATGGTCAGCTGGCCGGCAGTGATTTCTCATCTTCACGTGAGCAATACGTTCAAAGTTTATCTCGAATTCGTCTTTTTTTTTTCGATGGAAATGGTGTATTTGTTTTTGACGCACATATGCATGGATATAATTCACCGGAACCCACTGGAAGCAATTTTTTATATCGAAAATCACAGTAATGGGTCTCATTATGTAATGATTATTTAATTCAGTACTCTCCAACCCAACGGGTCCCTTAAGATCATTTATTAGAACGCATATTACAGAATAGGAATATCATGACAACACATATGATGTATCTGATTTCTGAAACGTTTGATTATGTGAAAGGTGCATGAGTAAATGGTTATCAAATGGCGATAGCGCGTTAAGTTCATACTAAGTTATGTTGAGCGTTATACGTTAAGCCCTTAACCAGATCTCAAATCAGTTGTCGCAGCGTAATAAATTACCATTATTTTAATAAAACAAATCAGCAGTGACAACTATTGCTTGTTCCGTTCCGTGCCATAATGTTTGCTGGTCTTCTGGAAACATATATATGCCTACTGGCAGCGGAAATAAGTCTTTTCTATTTGTTCTAATCGCACATGATCCGTTCGGCACATTATTTAACAGGTACTGATGCCTGAAATCGTGTTCAAAATAAACAACATTGTCAATTTACAGATGCGTGCCACTGTATTAGGCAGCTTGATTCGACGATCTGTTTTCAATAGCTTTTTCAAGACAATGTCTTCATCGTGTTCACCGCCGCTGATTGTAGTGCTTGGTTCAACAGGAGTCGGAAAGTCCCAGTTAGCTGTAGAGATAGCAAAGAAATTTAATGGCGAAGTGATTAGTGCTGATTCTATGCAGGTAAGCTTTTCAAATACGTTTGAATGCTTGACTGACGTACTAACGTATACAGATCATGGATCAGAGCGAATATGCTCAGCTTTATTATTATCTTTATTACTAATATTACTGATTAGTGCTGCTAACTTACGCGATAAATATATCGAGGATCCAAGTTAGTCTAGTACACAAAGACTGGATAGGCCGCAAGGGCAGCTGGTAACATAATCAGTGAATAACGATGAACTACCAACCCCTGACAACGCAGGTATATAAAGGGTTGGACATTATTACAAACAAAATTTCGCCCGAGGAGATGTGCGGTGTGCCCCATCACATGCTGGGTTTTCTTGATCCTCTCAAGGAGTTCACAGTAGTGGACTTCCGAAACCGAAGTCTACCAATAGTAAGCTGACAACCTTTACCTTGCAGTAGATATTCATCCGCATATAATTGCGTAATGCGCTTTTGTGTTTCTCGTATAAATGCTACATTAAATTTGATCTTTAAATCACTATTTCTACAGCCGCTTAGGTAGCCACCTTACGGGACCCTATTTGCATTGAACATGTTTCTTTTGTCACTGTCACGTATTTCCTAAACAGATCCGAAAAGTTAAAAAAAAAAGCGCGTACTTCCATTTTTCATATGCTGTTTTATAATTTTTACAGTTGGAACAATTACGTTCGATCGGTAAAATGGCAGTCATTGTGGGTGGTACTAATTACTATATTGAATCCTTGATCTGGGAAACTCTGGTAACCTCGTATAGCAGTAGCGCCGAAAATATGAATAGACTTATAGCTGAAGCGCCGAAATCGTGTTATCCCGATGAGAGTACGACGAGTCTTTACATCCGATTACAAAATATTGATCCAGAGCGGGCCCGCACGGTATGTATAAGCGGAGCGATTATGCGTAGCACTACAAATATCTTTGTAATAAGAATAATAATAATTGTTATTATTAAGCTGCCTACATTATATTTACCGCGAATATAATTTCACGACTCATATTTTATGACCTTCTTGCGTGTAGGTGCTGGGATACAAATTACTGGCTCTGTTCACTCCAGAGTTGAAAGTTTTAAGGTTCACCAGAACAAGGATTAGCCAACGTTTAGCAGAGTACCAGCAATCTAGGTTGAAATTAAAAAATTCTGCTTTTGAAAAGTTATCAACTCAAATTGTGACTTGCTTAACATCCTTTCCTTAGTTGTGAATGACCAATATTCTTATGGTAAATGTGTCCGATATTTAAAGAAATTCCTGTTTCGTGCACGCTAAAAATGTATTGACGACTGCTGCTGGAACTTCAATCACACAGAATTTACATAAAACTTTGTCTGGACACATTTCCGAATCCCAGGCGCAGAAGTTCTAAGAAAATAAACAAACTAGGTAATTAAGCGTTAGAACTCTCAAGTAGGTCCCAAAACTGTATTTTCCTTGAATGATGATTTTGCTTCCAACTTTTGCAATCCAATTTGCTCTGCAAATGTACAAATGTCTAATTCTGGCATTTTCCTTCAATGCCCAGATTCATCCGAACGATCGAAGAAAGATTGAACGAAGCCTACAAGTATTCAACGATACGAAAATACCCCAAAGCCACATTTTTTGTGACCAGCGGCAGCGGGGTGGCGTTTTAGGTGGACCATTACGTTTCAAATATGCGATCATTTTTTGGATTCAGTGCCAACAGGAAGGTAAATCCATTGGAGGTGAACAAAAGGCTCAATTCAAATCTTCCTCACTGTCTCAGACAGAAATAATATCACGAGTTATTCTAAATTTACAGTTGATTCCGCCTTGTTTATTTGGTAATGACAGATCTTCAAAGCTTTTACGAACGGTGTTAGTTATTCACCTCAACTTATTTTAATTATAGTAATGCTAGTAAAATCAACAACAGTCATAGAAATCATAATACTATAGTATCAAGTCACAGTAATAAATTATTTGCCCATTATCTTCCATATTAACAGTTTTAGAAGCCCGCCTAGATGCTCGGGTTAATCAAATGATAGAACAAGGTCTCATCGACGAATTGCTCAACTTCCATGCTGATTACAATTCCCGGCGTAAAGAAAGCTGCGACTACACTCAAGGCATTTTCCAATCAATCGGATTCAAAGAATTTCATTCATATATTACATCTTCGGCTGAAGATCGGAACTCAAAAGAGGGTTAGCTTGCTACTTGTTTATTTTCTTTCTATATTCCTATTTTATAATGGATGATTCTAGCTTTTAAACTGAGCTTTGATTTCTTTGAAGATACATCATCGCTACAGTCATACGTAGGTCAAGAAAAAAACAAACCTGGACTGACTAAAGCTGGAAACGTTAATCATAACTTACACATTAAATGAATGAAAAGAAGAAACGAAAACGAACCAAGCATAGTCTATAAAACTGATTTCTTTCTATATTTTTTTTTTAACTTATCCTTATAGAAACACATATTTGTTCTTCAGGAAAGAAGGCATTTGAGCACAGTCTTTGGTTGATGAAGCAAGTGACAAAGCGATACTCAAGGTATCAAAAAAAATGGATTAACAAACGATTTTTAGGAGGTTAGTCGGCGACGAACTTTTCTTGCCTCTTGTTCATTGGTTATTGTGCTTTATATATATATATATATATATATGCCCTTGAAATGGCTTGAGGTTTATTTATTACGTTTGAAACCGATCATTTACTTAGGCTATAGAAATGCAGAAAATGGAATAGCTGTTCAAGTCAAAACTTCAAATTGAAGGCATGTTTAGTTGAAAATATATTCGTTTTTTATTCTTTTTTTTTGTCGTCCCAGCACTACTAGTTCGTTGTTCCATTGTGTTTGATCAGTTTAAATACCATTACAGTCTCTATTTGTAAGATATTTGGGTAACGTTACATGCAGTAGTGCTTATTTTGGAAACTTTTTGTCCTTTGGAAAAAACCATAAACGCTATCAAAAACTGAGATGAAGACAGCCATAAATATATGCCTTTTTGTTCTAGAGATCTATTGAGCTCAGAAAAACTTAAAAAACACACAAAAACTATGTTTTGCTTTTGTATTGGTGCTTTTTGCAGAGCCCGATCGTGAGGTTCCTCCAATATATGGTTTGGATGGAACCGATCTAAAAGCTTGGAATTACAACGTACGGGACACTGCCATAGAGATCATAGAGAACATCCTGGCAGGCAAACAACCAAACACGCAACCCTTGCAAAAGACTGACATTGTGAGAAGCCGAGAAGGAATATTTACATGCGAGATGTGCAGCGTAACGTCAGTCGGAGAGATTAACCATAATGGTACAACCAATACAAGTGCCGCATGGGGCAGCGTGGTCTGGGTGGCCATGATTACAATGCCATTTTATGGGTCTTTTAGAGAAGCCCCACTCAACCCGGCTAGATTTTCTAATAAATGCAAATCCTTAATGTTATACCGAAGAGGTGGTCTTGAAGACTCATTCGCACAATAAGTATAGATTAAAACCTTAAAAAGCAGTACAGTGCCGTAATATACGCCTGCCTCCTTCTGGATTATTTTACCACCTCATTTTATCGTACCAATGACTGCATTGCACCACAAATGCTAAGAAAAGCACTAATCATGTCCTACAATGGCTTTCACTACTACTATAGGTTATGGAAGCTTGTCAATGATGCTTGATTTAACTCTCCGCACCAGAGTTATATGTTGCAACATATACGATCGCCAAAGCTAATGCGAGCTATTTGTTTTGCAGCTCATATGAAATCCAAGAAACACTATTTTCGTCTAAGAAGAATGAAGAAAACTGCTGAAGAAAAAAATCAAGAAAAGACTCTTGCAGACGAACCCCACGAAGGTAAATTTGGCGCAAAAGACGCTTCTGTGGAGGAGCCACATACGAAAGGCGTTTCTGCAGAGCAGACACACACAGAGAAACCACCCAACAAACTTCGAAAAGTTGAAGGGATGGCATAATTATGGCAGAACATAAACGGCACTGCGCCAGAGCTTCTTGCTTATTTAGCTTAAATCTTGGAGACCATTTCAAGTGTGAGATTCGACTATGTTCGTTTAAATAGCGTAGGCTATAGCGCCTAATGTACGGCATTGTTATCCAAAACCGCTTTTTATTGTTACGAAATTTTCTTCTTGTCGATTTTTTGTTGTTATCAATTTCAAGTGACATTATTAAATAAACCAGCTTGTAGTTCACATAAGTACACTGTTTTCATTTTACCAATATATATGTAGATTCTTTCAGTATGGAAACGTTATTTTGCTACTGCGGAATCAAGCAGACCCATCCTCCAAAGTCATATTGTATTTGTCTACGTAATTTAATTTTGGTATATAAGCGTTGACTATTTTATTTGTAAAACAAGCTCGTTTTTAACTGACCGATTTCATGTTCGTTCAATCAATTAAGTCTCTGCTACGGCAAACAAAAACATTCTATGCAAGCAATACAAATAAGTAAGCTGTCAGATGTCAAAAACTTACATTAGATGCAGTTTAGAGGTTTAACTGATAATCTAATTCGGGCTTATAAATACGCGGGCCCATGAAATAAAATAATTATTTAAAATATACAAGACATTCTCATGCGGTTATCCGTAGTTCTTAGTTCATAATAATGTTACTGAAAGATATCTGTCGCCTATGTCTATTAAGGTATCTACTGAATAAAAGTTTATCTAAATTGCTCTCCCTTGTTCTGCTTGATTTTTTTTTAATGGCATTTCTTACCTAAATCATTTCTATACAAATAAATAGTTGAAATTAAATTATTCTTTACCAGTAAGATTAATTAACTACTTTGCTAATCAATTTCATATAAGCACTACCATTCAAATACGTATACTATGCATTCAGCAAACTTGCAACTCCTTTGTGCAGATGCCTTGTATTATACCAAAGGTTTAACCTTTGTTGAGCCTAGAGCGAAATATGCTATTATAAGTACTCAAATTAAGAAAACTCTTTTAAAGCTTTACAAACATCTGTTTACAATATTAGAATCGCTTCGTACACCATAAATAGAATCAATTGCCATTTCAGTTAGCTGCTATACTCAGAATGTTCGTAAAAGTAGAAGAAATAAGTGATAAATTCCGAGAAAGTCCACAACATCCCGTTAGTTTTTTTATGTTTTATGACAGGGCATATTTTGCATACTATGTAAGCTATATTTCGATAAGGCTGACATAACCATTTAGAATTTAGTTTGATCCTATAGTTTAACTTGAGACGTTTAATGTTTTTCGGATGCGCTAAACAGGCTTCATTGCCTTGTTGGATTTTACTGCTGGTAACGGCTGTACTGAGCTGCAACTACGAGTAATAATAAAAATGAGCGTTGACAATCGGCATACGATTCAATACTTTAAACCGAGCTTCAGTCGAGAGCATACTTCAATGTCCGCTACTTCAAAAGCTAATAGTGCTAATGCTCACTTCTTCGTTCAATTTATCATTTCGTTTTTCTGCACATTCGTGCTAAAAAATCTGTATTCAGGAAGCCTTTTTAATCTGGCTGCACTATATTTCTTATATTGATTTTTGGGTAACGTGCTTGCCTGTCAAGCTGGTAATAGTTTAAGCTCGAATCAATACGTAAACGCACTTCGTTTCGTCCTGGCAGAAGTCAACTGCACGAAAGAATAGCTAACAATTCAAGTACCAGGCGTAAAACTCGTAAAATTATATAGTTCGTCAAGTGCATATCCATTTTTAGACGGCTTTATCAAATTCATTATAAAAACCTGAAAACCAAGAAAGAAATTTAAAAACTATATATTTTTAATTGAAAAATGTCTCTTATGAACAGGGGGTGTGAGATTGATACAACTTCTTTAATCTTTTCTACCTATACGGCACCTAATTGCTCTTGTCTCAGCTCGGTTGTGTCGCTGGATAGCTAATATTTGTGACAATTGTGCTGTGTGGCTATAAATTGTGTTTGGTTTTCGTTTAGCTTTATCTCAGGTAGATCTAAATCAGTGAATAATGAGATTAGTTCATACAGGTATTTATCTACCACTGGAACTGCATCTGATCAGAAAAATCGGTTTCAACGTTAAACAGCCTTTGTTAGGGAGTTAACAACTGTTCAATAAATCCCGTTTAATAATTTAAAAGTCGAACTTTTAGGCCTGTGGTTAGTAATCTTGTAATTTGCGTCGATATGTCATACATATGCATATATTTTGCTTTATTATTACACAATAAAAATGATTTGGACAACTCGCTCATGCGCTTCCGTGGGTAAAGGAAGGATGTTTTGTCACTGCAGTCGTTCATTACATTGACGCTACTCTCAATGACGTGCGAGGGATTAGCTTGAATATTAAATATACTGAAGTAGCACACGCTGTCCTTAAAGGGCTGCGTCCATCGCTTGTTGTCAGTTAATTAATCTTATGTTTATTTGTGAATAGCATCTAATGCCGCACAATAGTACATCGGCGCACTGTATCGCATTAAACAATGCTATCGATGTACAATGGCCCGACCGGCCCTTGCATCCACCATTGTTTGGGTGGAACGCACCACTTTTTTCATATGTCTAATGTCGTATGTTGATTCCACTTTGTTCCACATAAAAAACGACAGATTCAGCTATATATAATAAATAACGACCACAAAATAATTAATCTCTTCGGTGTTCAGACTTCCCGAAGGCCAACCAGCCTGCCAGCTGCCTACCCCGGCTTTGACTCTCGTTCTATTTGATTTTATCCTATCGCATCCCGCAACGTTGGCTCTTATGAAGCACTCTAAATCCAAAAAGATATTATCTAGTCTCAGCTAGCGTATGGGTAAGTTGTACAATGCGTACCCGCACACACATTTCAACAGCCTTTGTTCCGGCTGATATCGACAATAGAGGCTATTGTTTGAATGCTATTCACGTTAGCCCATGAAGTTCCTGTTCTACGTACGCGCGAATTTGTTGCTGCTCTTGCAACAACCAGTCAGTAAAATCGAAGCATTATCTATTTATCATCATAAACATAGTAGGCTGGTGCAGTATTAGCGTCGTCGTTAGCGGCAACGTGCCGATAATACTATCAGATGCCTATCATTACTAGTGGCGCTGGCACCTCGCTACTGCTGGTCTCAGCACCGCGCTACACGGTGTACGATGAATAGATGGAAAACGAATCGCGCGGCAGCAGAGTCCAGGGCAGCCATCATCACAGACCACGATGTCATAGCGGCAGAAGCAGAAGCATTAGCGACGGCGATGGCTGGCCATTCAATACTATTCAACCACTGCCACACCGGCAGAAGCAGTCAGAACAGCCCCGCCGAAAAACTAGAAATTTCTGGCAACACTGGGTACGCATGCAAGATTCGCACACAAAATATGTCTAGTTGTAGCCATTTCCAATGGTTCAGTTACCCTTTCCAACTATGCGGTTAAATTTATGAGCGAATTTCGAACGCGGTTCACCCATGACACTATGAACTAGCCGAGAAATTCGAACTTGCCGCTATCCTTCTTCCAAGATGGCGGCCAAAGATTCGAATCGCCCGCCAGAATGGGGCCTTCCGAACGAGCAGGCTTTTTGTTTACCACGAGGTTGATGCTGCTGTAGGCTCAGTCGGTCTCTTTGCAAGTTCTTCCTTGCCAGGTGCGTACACGTGTCGTCAAGTGCTTTCCTAGCAATTGTCTTCCGAACGTTTAGCTGTCGCCTAAGAACGGCTGATTAGGAAACCGAGACACCGGTTCTTCATCGTCGCTAGATTTTTACTACGCGGGTCAGAATCAGGCTTGGCTAAATCCTGCCACATGGTGTTCGCCTGAGTCGACTTGATCAATGTTACCCCATTGTTCTTGTTCACAAAATTTTCTGTGCTATTGGTCCTTCTCTTGTTAGTGATCTAATGTTTTTTAAAACGACTATTGAATAATCAGAGTGTTATATCCGTATCGTAGCTGCGTGATTGTATGCATTAACAAACGAGTTTTCGTCGTGTATCATTGATTGAGTCGTTCGTGATCACACGTGATTCATTATGCAACTAGCGGTACTCAGGCTAATGCGAAAGTTCACTACAGTGTCTATTTCATCCATCAATCGATAACTCCAAAATTGTTTTTCAATCTCTATGCGCGAGTTTTTCGAGCGCTTTCTATGCTTGTGTGTTGTTGGGAGCATGTTTCGGAAGACTTTTATCGGAACACCGGACCGAAACAACTGTGTCCGTCTGTCTAATCTATGCCTTTAATCTATCTACTACTGCTGGCAACGCTAACCACTAACGACGTTTGATGCATTTTTTGTGATACAGCACCGCCATGTTATTCTCAATTTAACTGTCGAGTGATGAGTTGGGTATCTTTATTGCAGCTCGATCGTTGGTGACAATAGATTTTTCGGCTGCCTGCTTCGATACTGCTTTATAGAACGTTGTGCGGTGACAAGGCTGTTATTGCCTACGTGGTCACAACGAGGCCGTATTGCATTGGCAGCAACATTTGGTATATTATCGCCACTGTACGTTGGGTCGTCGCTGTCGTCAGTTTGCAGGTCACATCGCACAGCACGTACGACGGTGCTACAGAGCAGAACACGGCCCGCCTTTAATGACAATATAATTTGTAATAATATATAATTGGCCATCCTATCATAGAAAAATGTGTGTGTAGAAGTTACTCAGTTTTTTACACTTTGGAAAACGTATAGTTTTGTCAGTTCAGTCGCTCTATAAGGCCAGTTAGGTTTAATTAACGATTACCAGTTTCGTCACCTCGTCGTCATCACCAGCAGACACTAGCGGATTTCGTGCTCAGTCTGGCGTGCTGCTGTGTGCTTAAACTCTACATGCTCGTTTTCTTGACCAGCCTCCCACGTTTTGTGGCCTTATTTAGTTGTTGCCATTGGCTCTGTAAAGTGCATGGCCTGTTACTTTCGGTTGGTTACTTTACACAGGCGCACGCCGGTCACCGAATCTTAGTCAGCTTACAAACTTGCAATTGTGACACGCTGCTTATTCTTCGCGCTACATTTGACTAATTCCATCATACATTTATCTGTCCTGCCAGTAGCAGTGAAGTTTTCAGTAACATTTTTTCGTGTATCTGTCTCTTTTCTAGAGAAATGGCTGTAGCAAATCCGATTTTAGCTGCTCATCCTCTCCATAGGTCAGCCGCAATCTTCCACTGTTTTTCTTCGGAATCGGAAATCTCCATCTAACCGACAACTGGCCCCAGTTGCAGTTCAAAAACCATAACACGCCCTTGTGGGTCTACAAACTACTGTCGGCGCTACTTTCCTATATAACGTCCCAAAAATTGTCAGCTTTCGTTCATTTCAAGATCGGTTTCGGTAGTACTCTAATCGTCGGCGGTGATCGCATTGTCTATACAGGCAACAGTGTTGACGGTAGTACCAGAAATATTATTGGGGTTGCTTAAACGTGGTTTGGTGGCGAGTCCGGACCCAGGGCGAACAGTGGTCGTAGAGTAGCGTTGACCTACCCAGGCTGGCTCTATTGCTTTTCTTTGTCTGTGGATGCGTGTGGGTGGTCTCCGGTCGATATATATCGATTTCAATGTGAGCGTGATTGAGCAAGGGTTCCATATTATGGTGGCCTTTACTGGTGGCAGCCAATTTGTAGGTACTCATTTTTGCCGCCATCTAACGTAAGTAATACGTATTTCTATAGCTTTCATCGGTGGGACAATCACGAGCCGGTGTCATTTAGCGATTTCAGTCGTTGTCAGAATTAGTAGCAGCCGGTTAAATTGTAGCCGTGTTCGGACGGTTTCGGCAGTACAGGTGTACCCCATTACGATGAACCAACACGGCGGTACTGCCTCATCAGAAAATCGCGCGCCCAGCTAGTGTCGATATAACTAATAGTCAGCATCAATCAGCATTATTTGCCATCACTGCTGTCACTTCCATTGGAGTGGTTACTGCCGACTATAACTTTAATACGGTCACCTAGGAGTACCACTACCACCATGAGTATTTGGTACCATCGCAATAAGTGGGCGGAATCCGCTGCTGTACAGTTTGATGTAGCACTCGTCGATTGCCTTATATACCGGTGTAATATATGTTATGTATGTATATACGCTGTGCAATCACAGTGGCGCATATCGCTTTTAACCCGTTGGCCTGTTCGAATGTTTGTCTACCTGTCTCACTTTGGCAGATGCTACCACTACAGCGAGACCACGAGAACAACCTTTAGCCGACACAAAGCGCACACTCTTTGGTGTTTGTGTGCTTGTACATGGGCGTTATTCAATTTTGTCGGTAAACGATCGGATGTGGTGATCTGTATTCATTCAAAGAGCCAATTTGTGCTGGTAAAAAATACCGCAAAGAGATTACCGGTTAAGGCTGCAAATGGTAATTCATATATTAAAATATATTTTCGCCTAGTTCTATTACGCTCAAACACAACGGCGGTGTGTCCGCCCATACCGATGTCGTAATATTAGACTGTGGCTGTTATGGGACTCTCCGTATTTACTGACCGTACATCGGTAGTGAGCACATACATATGCAACGACCAGCAGGCGACGGGAACACCATCACCTGGTCCACGAAATGTCGCAACGCTAACTGCGCTATAAGGATCACTGAGGGCCCTACGGCCTTTCTTCTACATTCGTAGAAGTCGCATTGTGCTCCGTATACATGTGTGCTCTGACATTAAAATTATCGCCAATCGTGTTCTCTATAAACAAGTGCGTTTTTACTGTTGTTAAATTTCACCTGGTTTGTTTATACCAGTAGACGCTGGCACTACAGACGAATATGGATATACACTACGCCCTTAGAGACAGACAGTTCTGCATCCGCCACGCTAATCAAGCAAAGGATGCGACCCTGAATCGTTTGATGGTGCTAGCAGATTTCTATAGGTGAAAGCACTCACCAGCAGTCTCTGATCAAAATCATGGAAATTTTATATATATATATACTGACATTTTTTTTTTGGTTTTCAACTGGCCATTTGGACTCACCAAGAGGACAAAAGATGGCAACAAAATTACTGGCATGTTACTGAGGAGACAGCTGTCTGTACTGTTCCGTGTGTAAGTTATTGCAGTAACATTGCGCTTAATCATACCACAGGGCTTCGTTCATATATTTCCACCTAAGAGTTTCAAAAATATAGAAAATTATATCAAATTACGATATGGAGAGCAATCAACACTTCAAGAAGGACAAAACTCTGCTTGAAAACTTCGCTTATGAAGAGCTGCCTTGGTATCGTTTTCCCATCAGAATTCAATGTTTACAGTGGGATGGTTTTTATATGAACCAGAAGATAATTATTGATCTAGTACGCTCACAAGGGAAGAAGGTTTAATCACAGGTTGAGTAGAGATTTCGATAATTAACTGCTATAATATAATGCGTTAACAACTCGAGAATTTGCAAAATCTTTCTTGCGAAAACTAATCCGCTTAAGTCTACATGAACTTGTCGTGTACTTATGTTCTACCTGTAACTCGAGGTAATGAAATCTTGTAGTAAATCGGATTTCACCTAAATCTTCCCGAGGACCTCTGTTAATTAAAATCTTGCATCAGAAGGTCTTATTCTAACTTCGTTTGCAAATGCTTTCAGTGTTACTTGATTGCGAATTAACGCCCCGCCGCAATGGAAGACCATGACGATGCTCACTTCGACCAGGCTGCCTCTGGTGCCTCGGCCACCTATCCCATGCAGTGTTCTGCTCTACGTAAGAACGGCTTTGTGATGATCAAAGCCAGACCGTGCAAGATCGTCGAGATGACCACCTCGAAGACTGGCAAACATGGTCACGCCAAAGTACATCTAGTGGGCATCGACATTTTCACCTCGAAGAAGTATGAAGATCTGTGTCCCTCTACCCACAACATCGACGTTCCTAATGTAAACCGCAGCGACTTCCAGCTAGTCGACATCTCCGACGACGGATTCGTGTCCCTGCTCGACGAGAAAGGTGACATCCGTGACGATCTCCGCATGCCAACTGATGAGGAGCTTGCCACGAAGATCACCGACGACTTCAAGAAGGGCGATACTACCATCGTGCTCACGGTTCTGTCGGCAGTCGGGGAGGAAGCCATTATCGCCTGCAAAAACTCTAACTAATCTATAATTGACTAAATGATGAACGATGAAGTTGCGGGTTCGTTTAAAACGCGCGCCTTTGGACATTGACATCGGTAGCAACACAAAAACCGAATATAGACATTAGATTACATCACAGACATGTTTAAACACACTCAAACACATATCCACTCACACATGTACGCTCGAACATGGACACTACACAAGCCGCTTCCACGTTCAACACGATTGTCACAAATCATTCACTTAAGATTAACTATTGCTATTGAGAAATTCCAGTAAAATAACAACCGCTGTGCGACGAAATACTGACGCGGTGGAAAGAAAGAAGAAATATGCTAATAATGTCAAGAGAAGGAAGCAATAAGAAGAGTTGCGCGAAGAGAAGCCTAGTATGTCTAGGGACGGCTTGCTGTTTGGGCCACATAGGGTATCAATATAGGGGAAACAACGGGACGGTATGAACAAACGTTAAAAAGGGGAAGGTGCGTTAAAAGAAACAGCGAAAATCGAAACCGTAAATGTGAAAGTATACAAGGAGCGAAGGCTAGAGGACACAGTTTATTGGTCAGTCTGACAGGTGGAGCAGAAGTACTTGTGCAGAAGGGTGGAGAGGAAAATAAAAAGATCTTGTGTAGAAGGCGCGATGAAAACGATCATAACACGGTCAGACTGTTATCGTCAGGCTGTTGACTGTTACATGGAACCGTGCGACTTCAAGACTTGCCACTATCGACGCAACGCACCCAAACGATATAATATAGTAAAGAAATGAAGATAAATAAAAATGGTAATGACTCTGCATGATGTAATAACGATGACGAAATATACATAGAACTAAGCTGAAAATAATAAAGAACTGAACTGTACGACGAATGATGATCAAGGAGCGAAAAAAACAATGAGGTGAGGATATAGAAAGCAGGCCAGTGGCGCATGTGAGATATTATTTTTTAACAAAATAAAATATGCTGCTACTGTTGGGGCGGAAAGTTACATGTGTACTTTTTTTGAATTTGTGTGGACGTTAATTTGAATTTTCGATTTGAAGAAAGATTAGTTGTAGATAATGAAATGCTGGATGTAACCAAGGAAACTTATCTTTACCATGCCTGTAATTTTTAATCTATTAAGGTACTATTGAAACACAACTTGGCAATATCTATGCAAAAAGAAAAATGATGTACTTATTTTGTCTAAAAATTGAATTCCTTGAATCATAGCAAAATCTGATTCCCAAACCACGATAGATTACGACAAAATTATTGAACACTTCAGCAGGTTTGCTAAATACCGTAATCCTTGCGTACGGGTAACTAGAAGAACATGAATCAGACCAGGACACAATCAAGTAAGAAAGCCTGATTGTCCTAATAAGTTTGGATATTATACTAGTACAAGTAATGTAGAAAATTTAACTGTAGAAGAACTTTAGTATATTTGTTAAAGTTAAATTTTGCACTCTAGCATTTAAAAGCTGTGCTGGTAAAGTCGAAATGCAAGTTCATTAGCGGTCATGTATGACGAAAAATAATGTTTTTAGGTTGTTTGTGGCGAAGATCTGAGATTGCGCATAAGTAAAATTTTGGAGCCGTTAATTCGTCGAGATCTGAAGCTACGCGTCAGATCTATAGCTAATCTTTAGAAAAAGCAACAGAGAAATAACCTGTACATACGCAGTGTATCTTCCTCAATTTTCTATTTCGAATATGGGACAACGTTACTAGGTGGCCGCAGTTGATAAGCTTTAAAGAACAGTGTATGGTACAATGTCACAATCTGCCAGTTACTCGATTAATTGTAAAGATATCTATATATACTTGCATAAATGAATTGTGATGTTAAAATTGGCATCTGATACGCAACTTTTTTTTTCATTTCTATTTCCAGCTGACTTTTAAACGTCACCGTTTGTATATCAAATCATCCTAAGTATGAACTGTGAGGTAGAGAAATTATCGAGGGGAACCTATGGCATAACCAAGTACGCTTTAATCCTCCACTGAAACGCACAGAAGGCAGACTCACGTTGAGAAAAATCAGCTACTATGTGAAGTACCGTGTCATGTTCTTTTCTATCGGTTGTTAGATATCGAGTGAATCAGCATCTGTTAACGCTGAAATATGGACCAGCAAGATGTGAAGGTTCATACCACGTTGGCTCACCTAACACGCAACTTTAACCGGACATCTCTGCAGGCAAATTTCTGAGTTCGTACAGGCCACGTTCCTCATTTGTTTCCGAAGTGCTTTCGGTGTCCGCAGCTTACCGCTAACTGCAATCCTCTGCAGACAATAAATTATTTAGGGAAAATTCTTTATAGGAGATATATTACAACTGCATGTTGACCCCTAGCAAATTCGAGCGTTGAGTTTGGTCATCGTATTCACGGGAAAAACAAATTAGTTATGATTAGCTTTTGTATGTTTCTTGGCCAAGGCACTACGTTATATATGTACCGATTGATTTTGAGGTTAGGTTACACAATCCTTTGCTAAGAGCACTGTAAGTCGTTTAACTTGTTCAGATCAATTTTATGCCACATATTTCAACAAAGATGAATTAGTTTTCAAAGACCAACGCGTCCGTTTGTTTCGATACATGTCGATTCCCAATTTTCAAGTTCCTGGTACGCCACTGTAATAAGGTGTATTCTAAACATCCGCCTAAACCGGTGCTTTGTGATTATTAAGTTGTAAACGCCGTTTTATATTGGAATGATCCGTAGCAAGACCGTTATTGTATATATTAAAGTTCTCTTAAATACCGATTATTTGCGTTAGCTAAAAGTTTTAATATTGAACCATGCACTTACTGCGTGCGAAGATTCTTATGTTGTTTAAGATAGTAGGAGATTCAACGGCTATCTTTCTTATTATTATCTTTTTTACCAAAATGTATAGAATATATGATAGTAACGTTATTTTTCAAGAGCAGAAAGTAGGTTTCTAAGGGGTGCCAGCCGGAACGATTTTCATTTCAAGTTGGACTAAAAATAAAATGTATATAAAAAAAAACATTTTCTTTAGCCTCTGGATCCTACTCAGCCTAGTGAATTACGCTAGACCTGCCATCCGTATGAGAATAGTAGACAGATTTGCAATATAAATGTATGATGTACAGACTTGCATTTTAGGGTAGGCAAATGGCAGATCCAGAAGAAGGGTCATTCTCCACGAACCCTACCCTTAACCCTCAACATCGTGTGTTAAATTGCCTAAAATAATTTCAGTGCCTCATGTCACAACTTACATACTCTTACATTCGCGAGTTACCTTTCGAGCGAACACCTCCCCTTACCTATGGTACTTCTACTAACTTTCGGTAAATTTTCCATAAAATAGCAATTCTACTATCGATAATATAGAGAAATCTGTATAAATGCGAACAAGACGCAAACATTATACCAAAACTTGTAGTTTCTTCTATACTTTTGCACATTGCCTAATGTACACCTTGAATAAGCTGCACTGGGAAAATGCATGTCGTGAATTGCAAGTATCGAAAGCATAATAACCCTCATTTCCTGCAAGTGGGCTCTTATAAAGATGGGTATTGGTAATCAATCAAAGCTAACGTTTTGAGATAAGAATCAGCAGCAAATTGTGTGTCCATAAAGTATGCGATATACTAATCGTTAATAAATATCTAACTCTTGACGGTATTATGTTACACGTTTGGTAAAATTGATCTAACATATATCCGTGCCACGGCATACGGGCAACGATAAAGTGGTTTTAATAGGTAGTTACTTTTGCAGAGTGTATCATTAAGAGATTAGAAGGTTCACTAGGTATGTTTACCTAGAAATTCCACCAAAAATTGCAGTGAGCAGATGGTACCGGACCAGTTATAAATTACATTCTAACGGCTCTGCATAACTCATCAGACCTGATCATCGATACTTTTAGTTGGAGCGCTACAATATTGGTCAGCTCATCGATTAATCGCTGTGCAGAGAGCACCCCATCCAAAGATATTTGAGCTTTCCATGCGATAAAACCGAGCTTAGAATTCAGCAGAGGTTACTGAATCATGAAGTTCTTCCAGTGTTGTTAGAACAATATGTGATGGCTAATTGGCCTGAGTTCGTCGAACATCTAATGCTTTAATCCGGCTTCGCATTGCCGAAATGAGAATTATTCTAGAAAAATCACCTTTTAAGAAAAAAATAGGCTTTGTTATTAGCAATTTCATCTGTACCCAGCCTTTGACGATTAGATATGATAACAAGTTTGACGTTTTAGAAAGAAACAATGACTTCTTCCTCTCGTTGATATTAAGGTCTTTGCCGTCTAAAGCTGCGTTACTATATATATATATATATATATATATATATATAGTTGCAATCGTGATCCTCTAAATAGCAGATACAAGTCAGATAAGTACTGCATTGTATATAAATTAATCGAAAGCAAAATTTAATTGCGGCTATCCTTGATGAGGACCCGAACATCAACTTAATTTGATTAATATGTATTCTGTAAGGTAAATATGGCAAGCAAGATGGTTGTTTGTTATAATATGGTACCGTATCACTTACCCAAGTTTCTACTCAATTAAAGTTTGACGCACAAATTATATATATAAATACACACCAAGCGCAGTTTAACCTACACAAAGCAATTTTTTCTTGGCATCTACTAAGCAATTATATGTAAAATATTTACTTGGATGTAAACAAGCAACACTAAAATCTTTTTAGTTAGTAATTCGCTATAGTTTAAAGATGATACGAACAAGTTTTTAAAAGCCATTCATAAAGGCAACGCCTTTGAAGGCGGCTTTTATACTCTGGGCTTCTTTCAAATGCCAAAATGACATCGATTAAGATTACTGCTGGTGCTTCGACAGTGTTTTCGCACTCTAACCCCCCTTCTCGCACTGCACCGACTGATCACATCAAACGCCTTTAACCAGAAGAGTTCTCAACTAGAGTTTTGATTACCTTACTATTACCTCCCCCTAATTAAAAATCAAGATGGCTACCAAGAGTAACTTCTTAGTTTCGCTAATCTCTTACAAATAGCCCATTTGATGGCCTTAAATATATGCATCCAACAAACGCTCAAGTTGAAGCTTTTTACAGAAATATAATGACTCACATATGCTCAAACAAGATACTTTATATAGGTCTAATGATACTGAGCGTTTAAAACACGCTATCCACTTGTACATCCATTGTAACTTACCCAAACGTTACCAAGATAATAGCTCGTAAAATGATAAGAAAATATTTAACAATGATATCATATCTTCACAACTTTTTTAATGTACTATATAAACTCGCCTAATGCTCCACGAGGAAATTCGCACCCGTTTTGATCTAGTCCACTGTGCTTGTGCTCTGCCTTTGATTCAACCTAATGAATTATAACCATACATACAGTGTTATGTCGTCAACGTGAGTCTATGAGGCTTTTAAATACACTACAGGAGTGTGTGCTCCAAAGCGGCCTAATATTTCTCTAGCAGTTAAAATGCTTGTCGCTTTACTCTAAGACTATATTAAAAGTTTAGGTAAAAGTAAATTAAAATGCTGATCTCTCTCAATTACATTCTAAATGAATAGGCTGATTATGAAACACATCCTGTTTAGGCTGAAGCTACTGATATTAGGTATAATAAGCAGCTGTATTATTCCATCTCCTCTCATGGTGACGAAAAGCGAATCTAGCGGTAGGCAAGACGAAAAAAGTTCATATGGTATTTACTTACGCGTCACATGTTTAATACATAATGCTGAAAAAAGTTAATGGCGTGAGTACCCAATTAATAAGTGCATTTGAAATTAGTTAGCATTTAGAATTTAATGAATTATGCGCATTAATTGCATATATGGCAAAAAGTCAACTGTACCCAGCAATGGTTGTGTCATAAAAGAT